GCACTTGAACTCTGTGGAGACTAGAAGTCCAGGGACTAGTATTTTAGCTTCAAGTCTGGCACTAACTTGCTTTATTATTGGAGGCTCAGTGTCCTTACCCATAAAATAGGTATAATCGTAACTCCCTTAAAGTGCTGTTTTAGAGATAAAGTAAAAATAATGTGTTTTGCAAACTGTAAGTATAAACTTAATACAACCTACTCTAAATGTTATTAAAAGCTACCAAGTTCACATAATAATCCTGGAGCCATCACCTTGGCTTCAGAGAATGTGCCCTGGCCATTAAGCATGGTGTGCCTCAGTGCCACCATCAATAAAATCAGGTCATTTGGTATTGGACACCTCTCTGGCAGATATCATCTAAAGACTAATGACATGGAAGAATTAATTTAAATCTTTAGGAGAAAAAAGAGGTAAATCTAAGGTTGTAATGAGCACTTTTCTTTCCAACATATTCTTAATTTTTTTGAGACTTTTCAGAGCATAGGAAGAATGCAATCTTGCCATTTGCAATGACACGGAAGGAGCTAGAGAATATAGTGCTAAGTGAAAGAGGTCAATCGGACAAATACAAATACCATATGATTTCACTCATACGTGAAGTTTAAGAAATGAAACAAATGAGCAAAGGGGAAACAAAAGAGAGAGAGAAGGGAGAGGCCAACCCGGAAGCAGACTTAACTATAGAAAACTGATGATGACCAAAGGGGAGGGGGTTGCAGGATGGGTTAAATAGGTGATGGGGATTAAGGAGTGCACCTGTTGTGATGAGCACCAGGTGTTGTAAGGAAGTGTTGAATCACTATATTGTATACCTGAATCTAACATTACACTATACCTTAACTAACTGGAATTTCAATAAAAACTTAAAAAAAAAATAAACAGAAAAGGGGGAAAAGATAATTATGAAATAGTATTCATTTGTTCATTTTTTGGTGTTGATATTTTATCATTTCTTTTTGGATATAGAAATGTATGCAAAGAAAGTAAATCTACTAAAGGTTCATGACAGAATCGGAAGGGTTTTTGTCTTTTTTAACAGTCCCCATCTCTAGCAGTATCTATTATCATGCTTTTCTCTTTTATTACTCAACAACCACTTCACTGAGTAGTTAAGCTACCCGAAAACTATTGGAAAATGATTTTGTCAGTATGGTTCATGCTATATGACCACAGGGGAAAGGCTGGAGCCGAAAATCACTGCAAAGTAATAGCCTGTTTACTAATAGAAGCTCCCAAATGTTTGTTTCTGTAGTTACAGACACAGTGATAAGACCTCTACCTGTAACAATTTCTGCCATTGACCTTTATTAAAATATTGTTTTGTGGGGGCACCTGTGTGGCTCAGTTGGTTAAGCGTCTGACTTTGGCTTCAGGTCATGATCTCACGGTTTGTGAGTTCAAGCCCTGCGTCCGGCTCCGTGCTGACAGCTCAGAGCCTGGAGCCTGTTTCAGATTCTGTGTCTCCCTCTCTCTCTGCCTCTCCCCTGCTCATGATCTGTCTCTCTCTCTCTCTCAAAAATAAACATTAAAAAAAAAGTTTTTAAATACTGTTTAAAAAAAAAAAAACAGAACTCCCACTGGTACCAATAGTTTGAGTGACCTTGAGCACATCACTTCATCTCCTGAAACCTCTGAGTCTCCAGCTTTTAAATAAAAGGGGTGGAGGGGTCAAGATGACTCTAAACTGAGGGGCACTTGTAAATGTGCATGAGCATTTTTTTAGTGGCCAGTGCCCAGTGATACTAAATGCCCTGCAGAGAGCAAGGGACAATCCTACAAAATACACTGCCCCACCCAAAATGCCAGCAGCAGCCTAAATTATCCCTAATGTCCCTTCTGACAGTCAGTGATAACAAGTGTCTGTCCATTCATTAATTCATTCAGCCACCCATTGTTGATCCCTACTGTATGCTGGGCACTAAACTTCCCTAGATGAATGTTCTAGAAGCCCTGGCTTAAATTGTACCTTTCGTTATCTTTTCCCCTTCCTTTTAAATGTCTTCTCCATGCATAGGACCACGTGACATGTACAAATAAGGATTTTTCAACTAAATCTGTTGAGGCAGTACCCCAGGACTTATGTACTGTGGGGTTTCTAATGACATTGAGAACCAAAAAGACTCACTCAGTCCTCCCCAAAGACTGAATGATGGCCTGGTTTACCTTTAATAATTCACGAATGAAGGGGCGCCTGGGTGGCTCTGTTGGTTAAGCACCTGACTCTTCATTTTGACTCAGATCATGAACTCACGGTTTGTGAGTTCGAGCCCTGCATCAGGCTCTGCACTGACATTGCAGAGACTGCTTGGGATTCTCTGTCTCCCTCTCCCTCTCCCTCTTTCCTGCTCATTCTCTTTCTCTCTCAAAATAAGTAAATAAATATTTAAACATTTTTTAAATAGTAATTCAGGAATAGAGGTCTTCAGCTCCACTAACCAAGGGCTTCCAGCTAGACAGTGAAATCCAAATTATAGAGTATGTAGCTAAATATTTCAACTGTCGATTCAATCATTTCTAATTTTTAAAACAAAACACCAACTGTTTTACACCCAGTGAACAGTTTTCACTGGCAAACTCAAATGTCCTAATATACTTAAATGGCATTTGAGGCCAGTTGTACTAAACTGCCTCAGAGCATTTTACCATATCAAGTAGGATCATTAACTTGCTAATTAACTGTGCATTGAGCAACTCCAGCTGTAGTGCAATCCTATCAGCCGCCACCCTGATACAGAGTTCCTCCAGGAGTGCGGTGACCTCTAGACTCAGCCCCCAGCCATCGCATCCACGTGGCCTTCCATCACCTTATCTCACAGCACCCCCGGGGACAGCTTACAATTCTGATTGCTTTTGTTGCAAAGGAAACTGCTGCACAGAGAAGCTTGAGGGTCTGCCAGACCGCAAAATCTTTTGGGATAGAAGGGATTCTGAGTGCTGGCTGCTTTACAGAGCCAAAAAGTCATGCTGATGGTCAGGGATGCTTTGCAAACACGCAAAGATTTTTCATCCTTTCATGAATTTTGGGTATTATTGATCATTAAAAATACCGTATGCACTTGTTCAGTCACTATCATTGGATACTTCTCATGAACACAGCAGGGTCTGACTAATGAGAATGCAGTCCTGCTTTCATAGACCTCTGGACACGTGGGGAAGTTAGACATTGTGCCAATAATTCTGTGCTCATTAAGTATTATTGCAATTGACACTATAAAGGAAAAGTACAGGATATAAGGAAAGCATCGATGGTCCTGACCTAGCCTGGGGACCCGAGAGGCTCTCTTGAGAAGGCGGTATGTAAGTGCAGGCCTGAAGGGCAATGAAGCGGGAGTTCGGGAATTGAGTGGGACATTCCAGATGAAGGAGAATGCATGATTGAAGACCCTGAAGCAGGAAGGAGGGGCTTATTCTTTTTTCTTTTTTTTTAATTTTTCAACGTTTTTTATTTATTTTTGGGACAGAGAGAGACAGAGCATGAACGGGGGAGGGGCAGAGAGAGAGGGAGACACAGAATCGGAAACATGCTCCAGGCTCCGGGCCATCAGCCCAGAGCCCGACGCGGGGCTCGAACTCACGGACCGCGAGATCGTGACCTGGCTGAAGTCGGAGGCTTAACCGACTGCGCCACCCAGGCGCCCCTGGGAGGGGCTTATTCTGAGTAAGAAAGGATACAAGCTTAGTCCAGGTGGCAAAAATGGGAGAGGGTGGCATGAATGGATTTGAGAGATGTTTAGAAGATGGAATTGACAGAACTTGGTGGCCAACAGGATGCAGGCAGTTAGAGCGGAGGCGTACAGGGATCACTGCCCTGTGTCTGACTGCTGGGTGGTAGAGTTACTTGTCTAGGATGCTAGCAGAGGAGCAGTACCCAGCAGTGGGCCAGAATCACCAATATCTCGTTCAGTACATGGAGTTTGAAGTCCTATGAGATACAGTTTGTCTACTGGAGACCCTGCCTCACATGGGTTATCCAAAGGTCACTGTATCTTACCAGAGTGTAGGAGAAACAACCCGTTCCGTGGAGCCAAGAGCACGTGTTGGGAAGCACGGTGATAGACCAGCGTTGACGCCCTTGTAGCTCAACAAAATGTTTTCTCATGTATTATGTCAGAGCTTCACAGGGATCTTTGGGGGAAGTCAGTGGATTATTATCTTCATTATACTGGCAGGACACTGAGGCTTCCTGAGCTTGTGATTTGCCTACGGTCACACTACTGTAAGTAAGGCTCTGGGACTGAAACTGAAATCTCCTGACTCTGGGCACAAGGGTCTTCTCATTGCACCACATTAACTGGCTGCAAGACTGGGGCCAGCTCTCTACCAAGTCCTGAGGTTTCCATGTCACATGGAATCTCGTTATTAGCACAAAATACGTAAGAAATGAAATCAAAGATTTTTTTTTTCTACACTCTGTTTATCCTTCCCTCTCTCACTCTCTTTACTCTTTTTTTACTACGGTATTTTTTAAAGTCTTTGCAAACCTGAGAGTAATATTTGTATTTAGAACAAATTTACAAGTAGCGAGGAGATAGTTTTTGGGAGAAATTAAGTTCAACCGTTGTCTAAATTCTACTAATTTATAAAACATGATAAGACCTCTGCCCCCTTACCTCCCATTCCCAGATTTACTCTTAAAATAGTGGAACCATCTAAAATGGCTCAGTGTCTTCTCCCTCAAGTAAGGGGTTCTGGTGGAGTCCAGGCGCTGAGGAAAATGGGAGACAGCTGCCCTGACCCTGTAAGGGCAGGCGACTCTCCACCACCAACCTGTCTTATCCACTGGCCTTCTCCCTTTCCATCCAAACTTGGAGGATGTTTAAGTAAAGCTAGTTTGTGCTTGTTTCAGAGCCTGTTTTAACCGAAGCAGTTCTGGGTCTACACAGAAACCGAGGTTCAGGGGAAATAGCCTTTCTACAGGGCTAAGTGATTTTTCTTTATTATGTGGAAAGCTTCCCCCTGAACCTCCTCTTGTTGTTTACCTCCCTCCTTCCCTGTAGCTCTTGGACTGTTTTGTGATCCCGGTGGTGATTTTGCTCTCCTGGTTCTTCCTGCTGATCCGGTACAAGGCTGTGCATTTCCTCGGCATCTTTGTCTGCATCCTGGGAATGGGCTGCATGGCAGGAGCGGATGTGCTTGTGGGAAGGCATCAGGGAGCAGGTGAGTTTCTAGGTGTTCACCATGTTACGTGCTTATGTGGGTAAGGCCAAAGCAAGACACAGAATGTTCATGGTGGGGTAGAAACTAGGAACCTGGTCTTCTCAGTGCCTGTATGTTATTCATGTTTGTTCCTCGACACCTCAAACAATGACACATGGGAGGTGCTTAATCCATGTTTCTTGAGTGAATGAAGGAAGCAAAATACAGATATTCTGCCCTTTTTACATGTATTCAGAAACATTCAGATGGTATTTAAAGTTGAGTCAGGACCTATATGGGGGATATTTTGCAGGCCATTGCTGGCTGGCCCAAACCAGCTGGTTAGAAATAGTGTCAGTGGGTCACTGGGGCCTTCCCCACACCTCACCCTCCAACTCTTTCTTTCTCATGTCAGAGAAAGACTGAGCTTTCAAACCATTGGGTGGAGGTTGATATATAAGTTAAGAGTGGATATTAGAAGTTTGAAGACTAGATTAGGAATACTTCATATTTTTATGGGGGAGAGCTAAATTTAGTCTCATTGTGCATGTTTTTTTGTTTATTTGTTTGGGGTGAGGGAGGATTTGTGGTTATCAATCACAGCTTATAGACCTGCAAGGTAAAGCTTCAAGATTTACTCATCAAATTGATATGAATCTGATGGGGATCCCTGATCCAAGATGGTTTCCAGAGAACCCTTTTTAAAGCATTGCAGTTCTTTAAAATGTACAAAATTCTTATGCTACATAAGGTTTTAGGGGACATGAAAAATAACCTCCTTTTTTAACATCAAGAATGGGATAGAAAGTATTTACATTTCTATAGTTCTTGGATTTGCCCTGTCTTCTAGGGAATTAATTGATAGTCAAAATTGGGGCATTTCTTGTAATGAGACTAGATTGTAGGAAGTACCTGAAATAAATACAGTTTATGTTTTTAAGTTGCACTATAGTACATTACAGCTGAAACAGACCTTGTTCGGCAGCTTTATATATGACACACAAGAACACCAAGGTACAGGGAAGCCAAGTGAGTTCCCAAGGTCACAGAGCTGAGAGAGCAGGGTCTAGGACCCCAGGCTCTTGACCTCTGGGACAGGCTTCTTTTCTTTTTCCACATCTCTGGGAGCTACAGATACAACACAGAGCAAAAGAGAGACAGCCTTGGTCCTCACAAACATGATCAATCCCATCTCAACAGGTAAGCTAAAAATATGTATACCAGCTTTTCCCAGAATCTCTTCTATGAAACACTGGTTCCATTGGATATCAATAGATGTTTTATGAAAGGACCAGTTTTATGCTCTATACCCATCGTGATCCTGATACGAATAATCTCTTTGAACCAATCAGAGTATGTTTATCAGAAACAACGTGGTTAGTTGTTCCAAAGTCATAATTTAATTTCATTTTCTCAGCTTTACTTGTAGGATGTAAACATAGACTAAGCAGAAGCATGTACCTTTATTTATGAAAATTCTGCTTTGCTGAACCTTAGCCATTGGCCCCCAGCCATCATCTTGCATTTCCTAGTCAAGAAAGACAATTGCTCTAATAAATCTGGATGTTTAAGCCCAGAATGTTAAACTAAATTGAATTGATTTCACTAGAGGATATTCACTACTCCTGGAAAAAAAAAAAAATGTTCTCTTGATTTCAGATGAGGTGTTAGGAAAGGAGTAATAGTATTAAAGAAAAGTAAGTCCATTTAAGGCCTTTCAAAAGTAGCCATTTTTTTATTATTTAAAAAAAAATTAAGTTATTTATTTATTTTGAAAGAGACAGAGACAGCATGAGTAGGGGAGGGGCAGAGAGAGGGAGAGAGAGAATCCCAAGTAGGCTCCATGCTGCCAGCGCAGAGCCCAATGTGGGGCTCGAACTCACGAAACTGTGAGATCATGACTCGAACTGAAACCAAGAGTCTGGCGCTTAACTGATTGAACCACCCAGGTGCCCCAAAAGTAGTGATTTTTAAAACAGTGCAGAGTAACTCAAACACGCTAGAGTGGGTTTCACCTGTAGAAGACTTACAGCACCATCCTTTTTGTGACATGTGAAGTGCTCATGTTAACAGAATTAAGATTTATCATCTTGGAGTACCTTCTCTGCTGAAGTAATGGTGCCCAAGTAGATGATATGATGTTCTAAGGGCAGCCCAAATACAGGATCCAAGGGTTTATTTTACAAAATAAATTAGGCAGCAATGTAAGCCACCATATAAAATATTTTGAAAGAAGAAAAAGACACACTAATTTGAAGGACAATATAATCTTAAAATTGGTGTGCATCATTATGCAAAGTATCCCATTTGTTTTCACCTTTGTGGTAGAATTGATTCAATGTTATTACTTAGCCAGGGACAAAACTTTACCAAAATACTTGAGTCACTCACCAAAACTTCAATCGGGCGTTCAACACAATATAAATTGCCATCACTCTATCGAGAGCTTTTCATAGGAAAAGAGAATGTCCGTCTCAATCCTTTTTGTATTGCTGAAGCCGTGGTTCACCGTAGCTTGGGATTTTGAAAATTCATTCCTCAAGCACAATGATAATGGCCTGTTCAAAGTTACCTTGACTTCACTTCATTATAATTGAAATAATTGTTCGAATCCCCTTGTTAGACTGTTTCTTCATCAGCTACCCAGGAATCCCTCATTTTGATTTAAGCCTTGCTAAAGGAATCTTCTCAGATGGCAGCAGGCTCTCCAGATGTGAACTGTAACTGTCAGGGCGCACAATGATGTGCCAGGAACCGTGCTTCTCAGGAAGCTTTGCCGGCAAGTTTGCCCACGGCAGACGGAAGTGGAGAGAAGGTATCCCCAGTCCGTGGCATTGGAGGCTCGGCCTTGTGGCCGGCAGTGTGCTGCGCAAAGTGGGAAGGGAAGGTTAGAAAGTCATAAGATTTAGGTAAAACCCAATTAAAGTAGCTCCCTTTTACAAAATATATGTCTTGCTCTTCAAAATATCATCTTTCTACCATAATACATTTATTGCACCTTTTAGTTCATTTATTAAAGCTGTTAGATACATATAACAACATTTTGTTTTCTTATTATTAGCCTGAATTTTAGAGTGATTTCAAGGAAGAGAAAATATTTTCTTTTTTTTTTTACGTTTATTTATTTTTGAGACAGAGAGAGACAGAGCATGAATGGGGGAGGGTCAGAGAGAGGGAGACACAGAATCTGAAACAGGCTCCAGGCTCTAAGCTGTCAGCACGGAGCCTGACATGGGGTTCGAACTTACGGACCACGAGATCATGACCTGAGCCGAAGTCGGCCGCTTAACCGACTGAGCCACCCAGGCGCCCCGAGAAAATATTTTCAAGGAGCTCGCTAATTGAACACAATCAAGGGACAGTGCCAATTTTTTTGGTGCCAGCCACTTTCCCATGCATTATCTCATTTAATCCTCCTAACTGTGGAAAGAAAGCTTTCTTATTCTTCCTTTTGCAGCTGAAGAAATCAAGGCTAAGGGAGATCAGAAGCGTGTGCAAGGGCACACCAATGGTAAATGGTGCGGCCTAGATGTGAATTCTAGCCAGTATCCTTTCTGCTACACCACTTAATACTTATTTTTCTATCATTGTGACCCTTATAAGAAATATATAGCTGTTCTATTATAGTTAATTGCGATAAATGACGGTCCCAGATTCCCCAGAATGAAAGGGTTTCCTGAGATGAAGGAATTTGGTGTGAAAACCAAGAGAGTCCCAGGAAAACAAGGCAGTTGATCACATTTACAACTCAAAAATATTCAGTGGGATGGGTTCATTTTCATAAATCACATTAATAGTCTTTCAACACTCCAGAATAGTGTAATTCATCATTTATTTCTTGAAATAATGGTATGTAGTAGTCTTAAGTCCTCTTCCTTATTCTTCTTCCACTGCCACACAGACACAAATGTCCCCCCAAACAACGCTTAAACAAAAATCTAATAAGGAAAACCAATTCTTGCAAAGCAATTATGACTGTGTTGATTAGAATCAAGAAGCGATCCAAAATGAGAAATGGCCAATCCATAGAGACAGGTGCTTTTCAAAGAGAATGACTGATTCTTTTCAGTCACCATTTAGTGAACTGTTAGTCAGTGCCCAATGATATACGAAGCAATTCATTTTCTTTAAATTATTTTATGTACATTACTTTGCTGTAATCTCAAACTAACCTCATTCTGAAATAAAGAAACTGATGTGCTGAAAGATTGTATAGCTTGTCCAGTACAAAACATTATCACTGAGCATGGTTTCATACATACATAAATGACAGCTTTTCTGGGTATTATTTCCCCATGAACATTGTACAAAAATTGGTTCCACTGCATCAGGTATCTATTGCACTGAAAGTGCATAAAACATGGAGTAATATGTTGTAATCTCCAGGGAACGAGATACAAATTGTAGATATAAACTATTAGTCCTAGAACTTTCTTATACTTACATCAAACACTTCATTATATAATATAGTTGAATAAAATCATGCCCTGGTTAATTTAGTTATATTTAATCAGCCAAATTATCATACATGCTATATGTATATGCATCCATTTTCAAAGGTTTGAAAACTGATAAATACATTTACAAATGAAAATTTAATAAATAACATTTAAATTTTTATCACTGATAATTAAGAAAGCACTTCTGAACTTGCACTTACATAAAACTGTATTATTCTTAACAGTAATCATTATGCCCTGGTGAAAATTCAAAGTACTGGGGAATAGATTTCATATGGTCAAAGGCCAGGTAACAGAATAGGCCAAAACTGTACAAATGTAGAGTTTAAAAAAGATTAGTGAGACTATTCAGTAATGCAGCATGGCCTCTTTTTAGGACTTATGAAAGATAGACTGATGTTCTGCTAATTTCTATTAAAATATCTCATTATAACTTAGCTTTCCTGAATCCATTCATATAATTTCATTAACCGAAAATTCTGTTTAAGCAGCACTTCTTTACTTCACTAATACAACAATAATTGATATTCATAATAATGACCCCCATGTCATCACAAGATTCTGAAATGGCTCCTGAGTAAAAAGAGACTGAATTATATTCATTATAACCTTACAATTTTAGTAATGGATACTTTTTTATTTTATGGGTTATTCCTCAAATGAACAACTTAAAATTAAAAGCTTTGTCATTATTTTCTACTCGACACATGAAAAAGATGAATCAGGTTGCTGAAGATGACCTTCTCTGTCAAAGCAACCTTAATGCCCCCGTGAGATGCACCCAAGGACCTCTCTGGAGCTTTGGTTGTTCATTGACACCTCTTTGCGCTCTTGGCTCATCTGTTCTCCATGAATCAGGGAGGGCACCCCACCCTCACAGATCCAGATTCTCAGCCCATTCCCTGGAGGGTGATGCCAGCAAGGTCTCCTGCCTTTCAGGGTCTCTCCTCCTCTCCTTCCAATCCTTACCAGGAGTGGGAAATTTGCTTTCGAAAGAGTGACACCTTTAAAGTACAGTTGCCCCTTGGACAGCAGACTTTTGAAATATACGGGTCTGCTTATACATGGATTTTTTTCAATAAATGCAGTACATTTAACATTTTCTTTTCTCTAGCCTACTTTATTGTGAGAATATAGTATATAATACATATACAAAATATGTGTTGTTTGTATTATTGGTAAGACTTCTGGTCAACGGTAGGCTATTAGTAGTTTAAGTCTTTGGGGAGTCAAAATTTATATGCAGTTTTGACTGCATTGGAGGTCAGCACTGCTAACTCCCTGCATTGTTCAAGGGTCAGCTGTAAATATAGAATCTCCCAAGGTGACCCCAGGGGCAGGAAGGAGGAGGTCTTTCCCCAAGCCCAGCCCAGATTCTTTTATGTGAAGTCATTTCCTAGAGAATGCTCAGTGCTCCCAACTGAACACAGAGAATCTGGTTCTCCAGTTTTAGATTGTTCCAGCTAATCTGGGAGTCCAGAGCTACTCTAAGGTGAGCCCCTTCCCTAGAATCATGCTGGAGAGAACACCCTTCTCCTCCAGCATTTCTTGTGCCCCCGAGCAACATACCTGCCAAGCTCCCATGTACGGACCTGTACAGGACAGAGCTGGAGACTACTTGGGTACAAGCCCACATAGGCTGCTAACTTCCACTCTCCCTCCTTGGCTTCATACTTCCTAGAGTGGAATTTGCTTCATTATAGGAAAGAGCTGGGTAAAGCATTTATTAAAAATTGGACCAACCCAAACCAACCCAAATTGATTTTCATGAAAAAAAAAATTAATGTAAGAATGAATCACATGTATTTTCATTCTTACATTACTTACTTTAGGGGAGTTGCAAATTTCAACCCATGATCCCTTTCACTCTCATTTTCTAAACAAGTACACATTTTGCCCATGGTCAAAATAAAGAGTCTGAAGTACTTCTGTCATAGCTTCTCTCCCTGGATAGCAAAGAGTGGAGATTCAGACTGATTCTGTTTGTTCTACACCACGTTCGCCAAACTGTTAGAAAGCACCCTGCAGCAAATATAACATGTGCACATATTAGCATATATTCCTAGACATATATCTAGTCAGAAGACATGGGGCTTTGTAGAGACACTGCAATCTAGAAGCAGCTGGTCCCTTTTTTTAGGTTAAGGAAGACTTCTGGTTGGGCAGACATAGGCAACCTGTTAATAACAGAACATATCTGCAGCACAGATAAACAAACTTTACTAAATCATAATTGGCAAGTTACCGGACTTCGATAAAAACATCAGAATGGAGTAGACAAAGGAAGCTCAATGTGCTGGTGCCAGATTCTCCATGAAGAAAATGTTAATGAAGCTGTGTTTGTGGTTTTGGTTCCTAGGGGAAAATAAGCTGGTAGGGGATCTTCTGGTCCTAGGAGGGGCCACACTGTACGGTATTTCTAACGTCTGGGAAGAATACATCATCCGAACCCTGAGCCGAGTGGAATTTCTGGGAATGATTGGACTCTTCGGGGCATTTTTCAGTGGAATTCAATTGTGAGTAAAAATCATGAGTAATTCAGATGGTAGATACCCTTAGGGCTTATTCTAATTCTTTTCATTAGGGTATGGTTGGTCACTTTATTTTATAAAAATCCAGACTGGAAACCTTTCACTAACCTCCTACATGAAATCTGAAAATTCAGTATCTTTCTTAGTGAACTTCTTCAAAACTAAAGAAGTTTGTTGTCAATTATTAGAAAAACGCTTAGTGGACTTTGTACAGAATTTACAAGAAAACATTAGAAGTACATTGATTTCTCCAAACCAGCTAGTGGGTTTTTACATAGAGAAATAGAATAAGTGTAAATGCCATGATATGATGTACTTCCAAAAAGGACATCTGTTTACTAGTGACTATAAAACATACAGTATAGGGGCACCTGGGTGGCTCAGTCAGTTAAGCGTCCAACTTTGGCTCAGGTCATGATCTCGTGGTTGGTAAGTTCGAAGCCCGCATTGGGCTGTGTGCTGACAGCTCAGAGCCTGGAGCCTGCTTCGGATTCTGTGTCTCACTCTCTCTTTGCCCCTCCCCTGCTCATGCTCTGTGTCTCTCTGTCTCAAAAATAAATAAAACATTAAAACAAAATTGTTTAATAAAAAAAAATACAGTATAAGTTTGCCCTTTCATAAATGTTTTCTTTTATTGCCTGTGGATTTACCTGAATGAACCATATTTCAAATTCATCTCTTAGGAATTTAGTGTTTCTACTTTCCTTAAACAGATAAAGATATAACACATTCACTAAGCATCAAAAAGTCCAAAACATCAATTTTGCAATAATCCTTCATTGGAGCATATAAGTCATCCCTGACTAGTGCCTCAGAATTGTGAGAATAAGGGTCAAACAAAGTGTAATTTTCCATCAATAAGGACTATATGTTTTAGTTTCATGTAAGGGGTAAAGAATGAGCCTCCAGTGTAATTTCACCCAATCGCTTCTTATGAGGCAAGTGCTTTGTAATTGTATTGATTCAGTATCAAATTATTTACGGAAGATATTTTGGCATCACCTTAACCATGGTTTGCAAATAAGCTATTTCCAAGGATCCTCCAAGTTTTGGTATGCTGAGATACAGGAGGAAACCTCCATAGCAAACAAGGCACTGAGGTGAGGAGAGTCTCCAAAAACGATTTATTTTTTATCCATTTTGAAGGTGAGATGGCATTTTAAAGCTCCTAAATTTGGTACTTCAGCTTTGTGAGAGGAAAAGAAATTGCCTAGTTCAACTATTCATAACCAGCACTTTGTAGATCGATGACTCAGTTTATGGATTATTATTCTTGAAGCCAAAAAATATAATCAGACACCTAACACTCATTTGCTTCAGTTACAGTCCATTCGAGCTAACTGAGCCCCTTTGGGCCACTGCTGCCAAAATAACAGAGGTGGCATAGGGGAGTGTTTGGCAAATGGAGTAAATGGAGGGCACGCTGAAACCAACGTAATGCTGCTGGTGGAATGATGCCAGCTTCACCTCCTGGTCCTCTTCGAGAGCAGCGGTTCTCAAAGTGTGCTTCTCTGACCGGCAGCACCGGCACCACATGAGAACTTGTCAGCAATGCACGTCTCTGGGCCCCACCCAGACCTACTGAATCTGAATCTTGAGGGAAGAAGCATGAGCACCTGTTTCAGCATGCTCCCCAGACAGCTTTTTTGTGCCTTTAAGTTTGGGAACCACTGCCTTGGAGAATCCTCATTCAGAAAACTGATTTAAAAAAAAAAAAAAATAACAATAGCCGCAAGCACGATAAATTTCCATACCTCACCATTGACGTTTTAGAACATCTAAGCAAGAAGAAACCAAGGCTGCAGGCAATCTGGTGAAAAGGCCAGTGGAAGGCTAGAGCTCCGCCTTGCCCACTGCACACCCTCACCACTGGTGCTGGCCATACCTAGCAAGATCCTTCGCGGGTAAACCTCCGGTTGCCAGATTAGACTTGTCTATCCCTGGCCCGAAGTTATTTTTATTTATTTATTTATTTTTAATGTTTATTTATTTTTGAGAGAGAGAGACAGAGCACAAGCAGGGGAGGGCAGAGAGGGATGGGGGGACACAGAATCTGAAGCAGGCCCCAGCTCTGAGCCGTCAACACAGAGCCCGACACGGGGCTTGAACTCACGAACCGTGAGATCGTGACCTGAGCCAAAGTTGGACACTTAACCGACTGAGCCACCCAGGTGCCCCTACCCGAAATTATTTTTAAAATTCAGTTGGTTGTTTCATGACTTGTATAAATCTGGTAAAAAAAAAAAAAAAAAAAAAAAAAAAAAAAAAAAAAAAAAAAAAAAAAAAAGTAGGTTGCATTATAATCTTGCTCATCAGGTCCACTTTCTTTAAATCTGCAGAGCTATAATGGAGCACAAGGAGCTGTTAAAGGTGCCCTGGGACTGGCAAATAGGTAAGGGGTTTGCTCACCTAACATGCTGTTTTTAGTAAACCCTGAGGGATATATGTGAAGAGTGATGTGGGCGGTAGTGGGGCATGAACCATGAAAGGATTTAAAATGCAGAGGACGAAAGAAAATGTTAAATCCCTTGTCATTTTAGGAATTCTTGTACACAGTAAGAGACTGAACCATATGATTCATAATGTTTCCTAATTGAGCTTCTGCCCATTATCATCGTCAAGATGCCATTAGTGTAGACACACAAGTATGTTATTAGGTTAAAGACCAACCAGAAAGAAAAAAATGCCCAGAGGCAGTGGTGGGACATAAATGGTAGCAATTTTCTGTAGCCAAGAAACACAAAACTTATGTGATCATTAAAAAGTGGCACTTCAGCAAAGGGAAGAAAAATGAACAAAAAGGCATAAAAGAAAACAATGTAATGGGCATTTTGAGCCCATAAAAACCTTTTCAGAAGGGAGCATTTTGCACATAAGAAATGGTTAATTGATCTCCAAAGGGAATTGGTGGAAAATCCCAGATAAGCTTCGAGCCCATTAATAGTCATCCAGGGCATCTCAGATTCCACCTGTTTCGAAAATCGCTTTTCTCTAAAAATAATTTAGGACAAGGATTTAACATCCTAGGTGATTGCTATAATGATCACACAGCAAGCCCTAGAAGGGAATGACATTTAAAACCTTCTGCCTAGATAACCCTCAGTGTCTATACCAAGACTCATGGGGTGCCGCAGTGAGCACAGAGCTTGGCTTGCAGGGGTGCTTGGAAAATGTGTGCACTGTGGGTGGAAACGGGAGGGGAAGCCAGATTGCCCATGGAAGCTGGCTGCTTGAGCCACCTCCAGCTTATGAGAGCTCTGATGAGATTGACAGCTTCAATGGAACCCTGCTTCCACAAACAAGGACAAAGCCATAAGCTTCCCTGCACCACTTTACCTACCCCCGACCCAGAAGCGTCCAAGGCTGGCTTGCTACTGACATAATTCCCTCTAAAAGCACGCTGGAGCTACAGAATTATGCATGACCCTCCCTGGGGGTTATAGCTAGTGACTTCAAGGGTTGACCAGCCCTTGTGTCTGTCACAGAATCCTGCCATTTATTTTTTTTTTTTTTGAGTTTTGCTCTAGATTGTTACAGTTAAATGAAAATCAATAGAGGAGGGGGTGCAGGGAGGAGAGGAGGGGCAGGCAAGGAAACCGGCTGCAGGTTACAGATGCGTTTGCCTTTGTGACTCTCAGAGCCAGGAAGCAAGATGTGACCCACGCTTGGTAACACTTGCCACGCAGTGGTATAAATTAATTTTATATTAATAGTAACAGCAATAATAAAAAATAATTTGTCCCCTAATTATGTGGATGGCATGTGCATGTCCACTGAGGTTCTGTTATAATTCAGTGTTATAATTCAGTGTATAATTCAGTGTTAAATGTGTCATCAAAAGGTAGTTTTATTCTTAACTCTCTTATTGCCATTAAAATGTCAATCCCCTGTAGTCCAAGATGATGAGAAGCAGTATAAAAGGAATACGTTATACAGCCATCAGTTTAATTCCTGATTGGAAATGAGGCTAAAATGGTCAAGAAAGAGAACCAAATATTCATCCTTTTCTTTCCAAAGCATGAATAGCGTTGGGTTTGAGATGTTTTTTACACGAGGGCTACCTTAATCCTCATTACCTCATCCTGACCAACTACAGGGTTTGGCTGGTTTAGCTCAGTTCTAGGCACATAAGGTTCGGTGTGTAAATGTTTACTAAATGAGTTAATGACAAGCAAGGGAGATGGGGCCTGTTCCGCCATCTCTCATCTTTCAAAACATAGACAAGAAGGAAGTGGTGGGACAATGGCGATAGGTGTAGGCTTGCATTGCTCTTTCTTTCTGGGGAACCAGGAGATGGCATACCAACCACTGAAACTTGGAGACTGGAGAGGCAAGGAGACATCAGGCCAGGGGGTCAGGGTCCTCCCAGAGCATCCCTGCACTCCTTGGGAAGTCACCCAAGAGTGCCAAGCTCTGATCACTGTGTTTGGTGGAAAGCTCACAGCGTCTTATTAAAGACACCAAAATCCAAGACCGTCTTCATTCCCCACCATCTATCAAAGCACTCCTCTTCCTCCCCCGTCTCCACATCAGCAATCTCCCTCTTGCCGTCTCTTGGGTAGCTCATATGGTTGACGTTTTATCAAAGTAAAGACATGTTTTTTCTATGGAGCAAGTGGGATAATAAATGTATTTTATATTTTCTGCACTCAGAACATTTTTAAAAAACAGATTCTGTTATTTTCTTATAACACTTGCAAGATACAGAGAGTAATTCAAAGCAAGAAGACCATTGTTGTTTGTTTTATTTCTTTGTTTTACTCTACTCAACAGAAAGACTGGGTCTGGTTATGTAATCGGTAAATTCCAGTAAAATATACGACCTAACAGAGCTCAAATGTCCTGTGGAGCAGGTGTGTTCAAATCACCGTCAGAAATCTAATAAATGGCTTCAACATTCCCTTTATCCCATTTGCCATATTGTGTTAAAGGATGTGTGAACAAATACGAGATGATGTGAAAGTCGAACGTTAAAGGAAAGAAAAAGTGTGCTGTGGGTCAGCTAGCTCAGGTCCGTGGTGTGCAGGGGGCTTCTTCACTGCCCTTGTGGGTGATGCTTGTTTTGGTTTGGGTTTTGGTTTTCTTCTGGAGGCCAAAACAAAGATTTGACCTTTTCCTGAAGATGGAGTAATGGGACCACAGAGCAGGAAGGACTTTAAAGGTAATTAAGAGCCCACCCTTTTAACTGAGGTTGAGTCAGGGGTCTGGGGAGGTGAGGCCACTCAACAAGTCTCATGGCTGCCTGTGGGGGCTGGGGGTTGAGGGGTGGGTACTGATGTGCACTGTTTGAGCAAGCCCTGCCTGCCTGATGCCCTTTCCAGACTTAGCCTGATGTGTATGTTCTAAGAAGCCATCTTTAAGAATTAAAAATAATGTGTTAAAGATCTAGTATCTTCAAAGGAAAGTGAATCAGAACATCAGGGGGGTAATGAGATAAAAGTATACAGCACACGCGCACACATGCACACATGTGTATATCACATCTAAACATACCATATCTAACATATCTAACCATATATCATGTACACCGTGTATATATCATATATGTATTGTATATACATTGAGATGCTTATTAGAATCAGATAGGATGCTCCATCAAAGCCCTGTTTTCTCTCCATAATAATTAAAGAATATAGATTACTGGTAGGTACTCAGAATTTAAAGTCAGGCAGCATGTGTCCCGAGGCCAAGTTACCCTACCTCCGTATGCTGGTTTTTCCTGTTTATTCACAGATCTGTTTCTTACCCTTAGTCTGCTCTATAATGATTCATGCAAACTGTACTTTCCAGGCTGTCTTATTAAGTGGCTTCCAACTAGATTTGGCCAACTGGAAGCAGTAAGAGACTGGAGGGTGGAAGGAAGGGAGGAAGGAAGAAACCAGGGGGTGTCTCCCTGTTTCTCGCTGTTTGGGGTCAGGTCTCCAGAAACGGCTGAGTGCCCTCTGTGATTATATCTTTGCTAAGTTTTCCTACCTTCTGACCCCTAGCAACATAGCCTCCTCCCTGGATCTCTCCAACTCCAAGAGTGTGGATAACTTACTGTTATCGCTAATCTCTGGGGTGCCTCATCATCCCTATGTGCCCTATTACCCATTCAAGCACCTTTGTGACTTGTGCCCCCAATTAAATTTCCTTTATTGAACCAGTCATATGGACTGTGTTTCTGAACTGATACATTCTGTTAGCCCATTTCCTTGCCTATATAAAGAGGGTAACAATAGGAATGGTGTTCTACAGTTGTAGATATTAATAATGTGTATTATTAATGTGATAGCAAGTGTGCAATTAATAATGTGTGTAAAGTAGCACATAGCAAGCATGCAATCAGTATTGGCTGATAGCAGTATTCTAACTTCTTTAACTTAAATCTCTAATGCATGAGGACAAGAGCTACCAAATGCTGTCTTTTGTGAGAGAGGAAGCATTTCAAATAAGAAATAGTTATACACATACCTTGTCTATAAATGTAGCTGTTGCAGCCGGTATGTAGCTGTCAGTCAAAAGATTAATCAGTTCATTTTTTTTTATCACATTGATTGATTGTTTGAAAACCCTGCATGGACAGCACGTTGGGTCTCCAGATGCACTGCTGACACGTAATAACTAGCTAATGTCCATCTGAGAACAGCACACCTGCATTCCGACCTTAATAATGTGTTCATTCGGCTGACTATGCTTTGCTCACAAAACAGGATGTTCGCACACGAAAACATTGGTTGACCTAGCTAAATGGTTAACTGTGATGGTGTATATATTCCATTCCTGTATCCCTAAATTTAATTTACGCAGCTTTTAAAAATAGGTTTAGAATGTTTAAGCTTGAAGCGCCCTGACACAGCCTGATGAGTAGAGCAAAACTCTGCTACGTATGTATGTATGTATGTATGTATGTGTTTTCCTACTTTCCGTAGCTCTGCCAGTTGTATGGCCCTCTCTTCTCTGAGCCTGCCAGTTATACATCCAGCTCCCTACTGGACAGATGCTCTTGGATGACGCATCAGCATCTAAAACTAACATGTTCAGAACGGAGCTTTTTATTTTCCCTGAAAACGTGCCCTCTCTCAGTTCTCTTCATTTCGGTAAATGGCGCCATAATTCACCCAGTTTCTAAATTAACCAGAACCCATGAGAACCCATGGGCATCCATGATGCCCTCCTTTCTCTCACTACCCACATCCGGTCTGTCACCAGGGCTTGTCGAGTTCCCTACACACCCGGCCACATCCCTTCATCTCCACTGCCATCCTGAGCAAAGCGACCAGTATCTCCTGCCTGGATTAGGACACTGCACTTCTTGCTAGTCTGCCATGCTTTCTCCATCCAGTCCCTTCTCCACATAGCAGCCAGAGCTATCTTTTAAAGATGTAGATCGGGTGTTGGCCACCTGCTACCAACTCCTCAATGGCTTCCTGTTAACAACTAGAATAGGATGTCAATTTCTTTCTGAGACCTACAAGGCCCTGCATAATCCAGCCTTTGCCTAATTTTCCACCCTCATTCATTCCTTCTGCCCCATTCTGTTCATCCTGCACAAATGTTCTGGCCCTGGCAGCTCCTGGAACACATCAGGCTCTGTCACTGGGGTCCTTCATTTGCAGATCTCCCTACCTGAAATGTTCTTGTCCTGGATCTTCCCATGGCCATCTCTTTTTAGTCCTTGAGCATTCAAGGTAAATGTTACTTGCACAAAGAAGCCTCAGCCAGTCAACCTTCCTAAAGCAAGCCCCCTGCCATTACCTATAGGGAACCATTTTCTTCCTTCTTAGCACCAAAGCAACTCTAAACTTCTCACCTATTCTGTTTTCCACTACTTTTCTAGCCAAAGGCAGAGTAGGTAGTCAGTGAATACGTGGTTGAATAATTGAGTGAATATAAAACATCAGATCCCATATGTGAGAGTCTACAGTTTGCCAGGTAAGGTGATGGAAGGGTAGGATTCTGGAACTTTCTAATTCAATCATATTTAATCTAAATCAGTGAGATGGTAAAAAAAAAAAAAAAAAGACTGGTGCCTGGACTATGTTCTGATCAAGTTTGACTACTTTCAGTGGATTTTTAGTGGATTAACTTAAGGATATATCTTGTTCCCAGTCTTTTAATCTCAGATTCCTCCAAGAAATGCTGAGATAATTTATGCCTTTCCATGTATTGATCGTAGGTTATTTAGTATTGCACTTTTAGTAACTTGGTTTAAAGCAGGATGAATTATTAGTAGCATGAAACCCAATTACAAGAAAAGTGACCGTTTTTAGGGAATTAAAACTTCTGATGGTGAGTCAAAAGCTATCTGATATTACTATGTCTGAATATCTGCAAGAGGACGTGTACTTTGCTGAACTAGGAAAGCGGTTATTCTAGTGTCCTCTTAGGGCATTTCCACCACACTAGAGGGGGCTGTTGTACTGAGTTTGCTTACTTAATGTTCAAAATAATCTTTTTATATAGATTTGATGTGGCTTTCTTTAAACTGAGAATCAGAAATATATAGAATGATGATTTATGCCCTTAAATACTTTTCATATAAGAAAACCAAATTTCTCTTCAGAGGAATCACCAGTCTTCATAGGCAAAGGGACTAGGTGTCCAGTACCTACAAAATCCTCCTGAATTCATAGAATTCAGATGAAGCATTTGTCCCATGGCCTCACCAAACACTTCATCAAGAATTCCTTTGGACAGGTCAGATACTTTTATTTTAGTAAAATGCCCAAAGGTCCACTGAATTATATTACTTGTGTTTATTCTATGCTTTATTCTTTCAGGGTAGAGAAATGAACATTATTTTTGTACATTTGTATCGTATCACCATCTAGGAAAAGGTGAACCAAATTCTAGATTTAGCCATAAACTCTTGATTCAGACTCAACAAAATTGTATAGTTATGGAATCAGTACTAACAATTGTTTATCTAGTTATAATGAGAGACAATTTTAGAGAATGGGGGGGCTGACCATATAGCATTTAAGGACTTTCTTTTATCTTTCTGGGTTTTTTTCCTTTTTAAAAAAACTTTTCTAATTTTTATTTTATTTTTGAGAGAGAAGGAGAGAGAGACAGAGTGTGAGTGGGGGAGGTGCAGAGAGGGAGAGAGGGAGACACAGAATCCAAAGCAGGCTCCAGGCTCTGAGCTGTCAACACAGAGCCTGACGCAGGGCTTGAACTCACAGACTGCAAGACCATGACCTGAGCCGAAGTCGAATGTTTAACTGACTGAGCCACACCAGGCACCCCTTATCTTTCTGTTTTAAAAAACAATGAAGTGAAGCATTTACCTAACTACTTCTAAAATAGTAGAGCCCATATGTGAGAACCCACAGTATGCTAGGAAGGGTGATGGGGAAGTAAGACTGAGCAGGATTCACAGATCTAGAAGAAATTCACAGATCATGGTGTGCTCAAAGAATGAAGTGGTCTGCCCCAGGTCACACAGGATTCCAGTTCAGTACTCTTAGTCCTCCTCTCTGTGATACGTAAGCCCTTCCATTTTGAGGACTATATACTTCTTCATCATTGTGAGCAATACAGGAACCAAGTAATTTTGCAAACAAAAAAGAGATTAAAAAAAAATGTTTTAAAAGACATAGACAGGAAACATTAAGTACAGCACCATCGGAAACAGAATTCAGAAGCCTTGACCCCACATTCTGACGCTAGCCACTAAGAGGCACTCCTTCCCAGAAGAAGCAAAATATCAGTTATGGGGTGCGAAGCAGCAAGTTCATTTTCCACACGACGATTTTTTACGTTTTATTTTATGTTTTAGCCATACGTTACCCAGTAATAAAGTCAGTTTGTACGGTGAAGAAAAACGCCCTGTGTGAGTGATCAGTGGTATGCACCAGCCCCCTTGGTCCACGCACTGTGGGTACTCAGAGGCCCCAAGGAGACTGTCACATCCCCTCTCTTTCCTCTCCTCGCAGGACTGCTCTACGTTGGCTTTAGCGCCTGCATGTTCGGTCTCTATAGCTTCATGCCGGTCGTCATAAAGAAAACCAGTGCCACCTCCGTCAACCTCTCCCTGCTCACGGCAGATTTGTACAGTCTGTTCTGCGGATTGTTTCTCTTCCACTACAAGGTGAGTAGAGTCATTGCTCCTCTGTGAAGACAACACTTGGTGGGAAATAACCCATATAGGTGGGAATGCCCTGCTGTGGAACGCCCCAGTGTTGTGTAGGGAAGCAGGAGCGCAACTCCGTGTGCTAACCCCCCAGATACTCACCTTTCCACCAGGAGCCAGAGGCACCATTTTGTCACAAGAGACCAGTAACGACAGGCACTTGATGGTGAATGATAAGAAACTGCCATGGAGGGAAGGGCTTTTGGAAAATGGGGGACAGTTTTTCTGACAACGTTCAACCCAGAAGCTACTCTTCTTCTAGCCTAAAGCTAGTAAGATTTGTACAGTTCCCAAACTATAACCACACAGTGGATTCTACCAAAGGCACTGGCAGGATATATTCTCTTTGGAGAAAAGATAACAGTTCCCGCAATTTCTGTTTTGCAGATATTTTCATAGCAAGCTTGAGTGGAAAATGCTAATGCACTTGAAATATTGCTTCTTTACTGAAAGATTAGGGCTTGGACTAAACGAATGCAAAGAGATCTTTTGAAGCATTTGCAGTTAGTATATCAGCCCGAAGTAAAGAAGAAAGTATTCAGTCCAAGCACAGCAGTCTTTTCAAATCCCAGATGACCAACCTGCTCACCCACAGCAGACAGGACTAATCAATTATGGCTCAGTGGAGTCAGATTCTATCTTTTAAACACTGCACTCACTTCAGACATTAACAGTTGATTGGGTCGGTGGGGACTCTGAACAGGGTGCAAAAGGACCAGTATGAAATATCCAGGCAAACAAGACCAAACTAGGGCAGGCAGAAGAAGAGGCAGAAGAAAGAGATAATATACTCTGGCCGCTTCTAGCCAAGCGCCTCAGCAGTGATATTACAGCTAACACCACTAGCACATGGGTGTGGCCCACTGATGGGCCATGTTGGTGGGCAGGGCATCTACAACCAGGTCAAACCACGTTTGGAGGTTCCCTGAGAAAGGCCGAGCTGGAAAGAGTATGAGGTGACCATCTTGAGATGATGCTGGCCCCCAGCGCCCCATATGGCCATGTTCCTGAAAGTCTCCTATCACCAGGGAGACTGGCTAACAATGCAGCTGAGGTGAATAATCAGAAATATTACTGGATGAGCCAAAGTCATAGCCAAGAAACAGACTAAGAAGGGCAGACACGGGTGGAAAAAAGATTACAAACAAGGTTAGCCGAGAGGACCAGAAGCAGATCTGAAAGACAAGAGGTAGAGAAAATGGCCATGGCAGAAGACAGGGAAAGGCCTGCATCCCTGTTTTATAAGGAGCCCTGTACCCAGTGTGGTGGCAAAAAAATGACAGCCTTTATACGTTGTTTGTAATTTGTTTTGTCTAGAAGGTACAATCTCTGTTTCCTGAGCACACACTGGTCCTCATGGGGGTAAAAGTAAAAGTCACAGCATATTCCCCCATTTCTCCCAGTCACAGTGTTGGGACGAGCAGTTCTCCTGAGATGCCCCCTCCACCACACCCAATTATTTTCCAGAGCCCTGGGGACCACCTAGCCACAGTCTTACCTGTTCAGCACAGTGGCCACCATTTTTCTTCTCTCCTCTGCTGTTAGGCATCCACATCTAGTGCCTTCCCAAGTGTGACTTCGATCCCCAGCAATTATTCCTGTGATTGTTTTTATAAGCTCCTAAACTAGACAGATCCCTTTCACATTCCTTAAGGAAAGATGACGAGACCTATAGTTCTGACTGAGGACCGTAGGCACTTCTTGGACGGCCAAGATCCAGTCTGGCCCCCAGCGTCCCTTATGGCCGTGTTCCCAAATGCCTCCTGTCACCAGGTAGACTTGCTAATAATGCAGATCCATGGGCCACACCTCTGATCGGATACTGGAATCAATATTTAGGGATGTGTCTGGGGGAGGCTGCACTATTAATAGGCTCCCCTGTGAAGCTGATGTCCTCTGACTTTGAGGACAGAAAGCTGAGAGGGATACCCGAACAGCGCCCCTTCCTATGCTTTCACTGACTTTTGGTTGGACCTGGGGCTCTCCATACGAAGCATCAGGGACTGAGAAGGCTGATGACAGCTCAGTTCTCACTCTCCACGGTCTATTTTCCTCTCCCAGCATGTGTGTGTTGCTTCTTACTTGGGATAAGGAAGTTTGCTGGAGAGGAAGCCATGTAGTAAGCCTTCATCATGCCATCAGAAGGGAGGCTGTGTTACCTGAAAATTGAATTCTTGTGTTCACCAATTTGGAGGTGTGGTGGATGTTTTTATTTCTCAAAACAATGTTTCACCATGTACATATATTTTGTTACTGTTTAACAGATACACTTCTTTCCCACGATTGGTTCAACACAATAGGTGTTTTCTCTGGTTAAAATTGATCCCTATTGTCTTTTTTTTTAAATTAAGCTTCCAGGGCACCTGGGTGGCTCAGTCATTTGAGCATCCAACTTCAGCTCAGGTCATGATCTCGCAGTTTATGAGTTCGAGCCCCACGTCAGGTTTTGTGCTGACAGCTCAGATCCTGGAGCTGCTTCAGATCCTGTGTCTCCCTCACTCTCTGCCCTTCCCCTACTCATGCTCTGTCTCTCTTTCTTTCTTTCTCTCTCTCTCTCTTTCAATACATAAATAAATAAATAAACATTAAAAATTTTTAAATTAAACTTTCACGATAATAATAGATTCACATGAAGTTTTAGAAATAATACAGAGAGATCCCCATTTCCCCTTCACCTAGTTTTCCCCATTGGTAACATCTTACAAAGCTGTAGCACAATATCCGAATATTAACACTGATGCATCAGCATACAGAACATTTTCATCCCCACAAGGGTGCTCATGTTACCCTTCACAAGCATGCCTGCTTGCTTCTCCCCCACCCTTCAGAATGCTGCAAAACTTTGTGTTTATTCTCCATTTCTCTAAATTTGTCACTTCAAGGATGGTATGTAAATGGAATTAACCAGTAAGTAACCTTTTCGGTTTGACTTTTTTCACTCAGCATAATTCTCTAGAGATTCATCCAGATTGTTTCATATGTCAGTAGTCCATTCCTTTTTATTTCTGAGCACTTTTCCATGAGATAGATGTACCATGATTTATTTAATCATTCCCTCGGTGAAGGATATCTGGGTTTTTTTCTATTTAGGGCTATTACAAATAAAGCCGCTCTGAACGTTCATATACAGATTCTCATGTGAACAGTTTTCATTGCTCTGCAATAAACAGCCAAGAGTCCTAGTTCAAGGCATATGGTCATAACATGTTTAATTTTATAAGATACTGCCAAACTGTTTTCCAGAGTGGTCTATTGTCTTTTATTACGAATACATGTTCATTGTGAGAAAGTCAAAAAATACAGATAAATGCAATTAAAAATTGATACAACTTTATAGTATATATGTTTTTATAGTATATATGTACTTTATAGTTCATTTGTATTTCAATAAAATACATTTTTATTTAATATGAAAAATATTTTATAAATTACATTTTTATTAAATGTAATTTATTAAATAAAATAAAATTTAATAAAAAACTACTTTGTTACATGCTTTATGTAAACTCAGCATGTATATATCCCCTTGTCATTCAATATCTATACATAATATGCATGTGAGTCTGAATGGATGGTTCTCAACTCTGTCTATGCATTACAATCACTTGGAGAGAATATAAAACATAGTCATGCCCAGGTCCCACTCCAGAGAGTCTGATACTGTTTGGTCAGGAATGGGGCCTTTTCGAAGCTCTACAGGGGATTCATCACTTATCCTAATACACAACCAGAGTTGAGAATCACTCACAAGATTCTTTTAATGGATATATAGTATCCCATGTAACAGTTTTAGTTACCCAGGTTGTCTTGACCATGGCACTATTGACATGTTAGACCAGGAGATTCTTTGTTGGGCTAAGGGGGTGTGTCTTGTGCATTATAGGATGTTTAATGGCATCTCTGGTCTTTGCCCACTCAATGTCAATAGCATCCCCCTAATAGTGGCAATCAAAAATGTCTCCATATGTTTATTGAGAACCATTGATTTAACAATCCTTAATTATCGAATTCGGGTGATACCTCTTTTGAGCTAATATAAATAATTTGGGGACTGAGCGTATACTAAATTTTTGCTCACATTGAATGTTTCAGTGTTCTTCTTTTTTTAAATCATTTTAAAATAAATCTTATAATTGGTCCGTTTCATTTCTCTTTTGAAACAGAGATCTTTAAAATAGTTTCAGAATCCTATTGACCAATCAGGAACCCTGCAAAGAGGCAGTATTTGCAAAGCCCTGTTATTATGGTAACCAATATTACAACACAGACAATGCTCTAGTCCTCCTTCCCCTTCACTTGCATTGTACCTACAGTTGACTCTACACCTCTGAGTTCTTGAATAAATACTGCCTTGTACTGTTCTTTCCTTGTTTTATGAATGGAGTTTAATATCTGCAAAGAAATAAGTTGAATACTCAATTTAAATCTAGAAATAAAAACCTTTCCTTCTCCCCTTTTCTAAAAGAATCTCCCAAGCAGTGCTTGAATTTGCAGTCAAATAGACATTGTTTGGAAAATTCAGGACTTTTTCCCCCTGGCCCAGCTTGCCTGCCTCTGAAATTGGCCTTGGGTTTCCCCAGATGGGAGGCTTTCTAGAGCTAGGGAGAAGGGTGGGTCTGAATGGCTTGTCGGTTTCCCACTAGAGCCGGATGGGCCATCTCAGAAAATTGATTTTTAAATAATGCTTATTGGTGGTACTTTTATCATCGTAAGCAATTTATGGTTAATGCAAAAATCTTGGCAAATTTTGCAAAGTTCAAAAATGGTGATGTCATGTGATGGGTCATGTGTGTGTGTGTGTGTGTGTGTGTGTGTGTGTGTTTGAGTTATTTAGTTTTTTATCATTGATTATAATATTTCTTTATATATGCTGGGTAGTATATACACTTGTCAGATACATGATTTGTAAATATTTTCTCCCACTCTGTAGTTGTCTCTTCATTGTCTTGTTAGTGTCC